AAGAAAGGTGATGATTTCTGCATGAAGAGATACTCATTGCTTAAGAGCAAATTTTATATTACAGCGCCGTCTTGGAGATGCTGCAAAGAAAGCAATCAGCAAGCTGCAAGTCAGAACAATCAGGAAAGGTGATAAGGTAATTTTTCAAATTGCTCATTATGAAATGCATCTGTGCACCGAGGGGTCCTTCAGACCACCTGAACAAAGAGGCAGAATAGAAATGATGACTGTTTTCTGAGCTGGTACCTGTCCTCCGGGCAAGGGACAAATACTAGTAAGCAATTTGTGGATGAAATGGAACAGCGGCAGAAAGAGGTAAAATTACACAAAGATGCAGAAAGTCCTGAAAGTAGAGATATACTGACGAAATCTGCATGTCTCCCTGGGCAAGCTTCCAATTGGATGCATGTTGAAAGTCTGGCTTGCTTGTCTTCAGGTGTGTTATTGCATTTAGAACATATCTCGGTGCTCCTTTAACACATAGGCTCTTGCATGAAGAGATTATCTGACAAAGTCAGAATGAAAATGATAAATGTTCTCTTTACCCTAGGAAACTGAGCCAGACTTTGATAACTGTGCTGTTTGCATTGAAGGCTACAAGCCCAATGATGTTGTCAGAATCTTACCTTGCAGGTAAGTTAACGTGAAGGTTAGAGGCATTTTTAGCTCTGATAGTCTCTCTGCCTGTCCTGATGCGTTCTTGTCCTTGAATATCACTTTAATGAGATGACCCGAGAGCCTTGTGGGTGCCGGCGGGGTAATTGTTTCAGTGTACTACTTGCAAACTCTGTTCTGTAAAGATACCTGGAATGTCTCTTCGTTCCTTTCTGATAGGAAAACAATATTAGTGGGGTTGAGAGCCGTTTAGCCTGAGAACCTGAGTCTACCATCATAGTCAGAAATTTTGTCTGCTCTGAATTTTTAGCTAAATCATACAATGCTAGCTGATGCTGAGTTTTCTGGTAACGAGAACAGTTGTCTGTCTTTTTAAGAAAGCAGTGCCAAAACCCCTTAGTGTGGAGAGTTATATGTCTATACATAAGACTTTGTAGCTCAAGACTGCAGGCTGCCCTGTGTGGATATATAATAAAGTCTTCTGTAGGATTTTTAAACTAGAGAGCTTGATTCCTCTATTCTTTTGAATATCACTTTAATGAGATGACCCAAGAGCTTTGTGGGTGCCGGTGGGGTAATTGTTTCAGTGTACTTGCAAACTCTGTTCTGTAAAGATACCTGGAATGTCTCTTCGTTCCTTTCTGATAGGAAAACAATATTAGTGGCGTTGAGAGTCGTTTAGCCTGAGAACCTGAGTCTACCATCATAGTCAGAAATTTTGTCTGCTCTGAATTTTTAGCTAAATCATACAATGCTAGCTGATGCTGAGTTTTCTGGTAACGAGAACAGTTGTCTGTCTTTTTAAGAAAGCAGTGCCAAAACCCCTTAGTGTGGAGAGTTATATGTCTATACATAAGACTTTGTAGCTCAAGACTGCAGGCTGCCCTGTGTGGATATATAATAAAGTCTTCTGTAGGATTTTTAAACTAGAGAGCTTGATTCCTCTATTCTTCCCTCTGTTTTTATACCAGTTTAGTATAACTGACTTAGAAGACTACTCCTGTATTCCAGGCGAGCCCTGGGCACAACAGTCATAGGGTCAGGGCAGTTTATCTGCTCCCCATTGAGCTACTTCTTCTGATATCCTGTGTTATGACCAGATGCTGGGAAAGGGATGACTTCTATCATAAACACAACCAAATCCAGAGATATGTTGAGTGGAAACAGGAAAGCAAAAAAAGGAATATGATGAAGACCTTTTTTTTTTTTTTTTTTTTTTTTGGTGAAAGCATTACCAGGCATGTTGGGACATGGAGCTGACAAGAGCTTTGATGGTTGTTCTTTCTCCTTTCTTTCCCCTTCACATGTGCGTCCCATGATGTGACACTGGAGCACAGCTTCTTGCCGCCTGTAATAGCTGTATTCTTCTCTCTGTGCCATTGTATTGTCACAGGTGGAGTGTTAACTAATGTGGGATTTCTCTAGGGAAATCAGTTTCTTCAGAAATTTCATGGGAATGCTAATTCTCTTAAAAGAGCAAGCACAAGTGTTCGACTTCCTTAGAAACAAGAATCTCAAGTGCCTTACGCTATCGAGAGCATAGATTGTCGTTAGGGGGTTTTTTCTTCCGCCTCAGACATGTTCACTGGTTTGAGAAATTGAAATGTTTGTTTCTTTTCTGACTATGTTGTTCCCTAGAAGATATTCTAATGTTGCAAGCTGTCCACTTCTATTCATTCTTGTGACTCATTAAATGTGCTTTCTGCTGTCACTAAATGGCAAACAGAAAAACAACAGATTAATCATAAATTTGACCTACTGTGTACCCCCCAAAGACAAACTGCATATTGCATACCAATTCTTTTTCTAGAAACAGACGCAAATGCATTTCTGTATGAAGCAGAAACACAGAAAACTGAGAAATTATAAGAAAATACAAGTTGGCTTTGACATCAAGCCCGTTTCCATAGAAGCTTAGTAAAGTCTGGAAATTTTGCACTAGTCCTTCTGACAGACGGACTAAACTGACAAAGGGTTTTAGAAGGAAGCTGTACAGTAACACAAACAATACAGGTAAGCTATTGTTTTCACTTGTGTCTTGCTTCATAAATTAATGAGCCTCCAGTTAGACTTTGTCATGCACAGTCTGAAGTAAAGCACAGTGAATAGGAAATGCACAGTTGGCAGGTGATGTGCAGTATTTGGCTGGCTTAAAAGGTCACCTAGAAAATGACTCATGCTAAAAGGTTGCCAGCAGCAGCTCTGTCTTGTAAAATACCCACTGTTGGAGCCTAAGAGGTGTTGAATTATAAAAATTAGAACTTCCCTAAGCAGTTACTTTACAGACCCTGGATTTCCCACTATGCAAATTGTGAGAGTAGTAGCTTATACATTCATATGGGTTCAGTGTTCCAAAACAGGAAATAATAGTCATGAGTCTTCCTACTGTTGTCTGTACAGATTAGTTTATCTCTAGCTCTCTGTTAAGTAAGTAGGAGAGCCCTGTATCTTGATAAAGACCTACAGACACTGTATGTGTTAGATGAACTTAGACATGCAGTGTAAGTGCATCATACCAAAGTAAGCACTTCTTTAAACTTTTTGTTCATTAAACAAAAGCCCACACCATGACACCAGAGCTAGATGACCTTACTTTTTTATCCAGGAGGTGCTTGAGATGCAGGACTTTTTCCCTGCAAAGCCAAGCATTCCCCAGAAACTTCACACAAGACTGCATTGTATTGCAGGCAGGATAGGAAATACCATTGCTTGCAGATACACTCTGTAGAAAGTTGACGTATATTGTGAGATTTCTTTTTAGGACTATTGGAGCTACTACTTAGAAATTGGTACAAAAATCCACCAGCCTACATTTTAGTGGATGAAGTCTGAAGTCATATAGCTAGATGTTTCTTAGTACTTATGGTTTTACCCCAAATATTCTCTTTTGCTGTTTGCAGAGGACAAGTGCTGTGATAGTCTGTTGTTGTGTATCCCACGCTGGAGACTGAGGAGAATTCCAGTTAACTTATGCTTTCTTCTTTCCATCTTCTTAAGAAGCCAACTCCCACAGCTGAGTATATTAATAAGTTTCACTCTACAGAGTTCATAAATTAAGTAAATACATACTGACACTGACATTGCATTTGGTGATGAACTAAGTGCTGGCTTACAGCTAGTTTTATATTTAACAGTAGCAAGCATTACTGAAGTTGTCTTTGAGGACACTGACCCAGCATCAAATGTAACCAAGTTGATTGTTCCCAGAATGGCATCTCTTGTCACAGCCCTAGTTCCTTCTTCTTGTCCTCCATCTCTAGTGTTTTCTTATCTGAAACATCATTGAAGAAGTTACTGGGACTGCTGCATCCTTTGTCTGCCTTTTACTAAGCTTTTATTTATCTTGTTGGCAGGATCACCTGCCACACAAAGTGGCAAGATGGTTCTTTCAACCTCCTCTTGGCTGACAACTTATTCATTCTTCGTTATCTCCTTTTCTGGTTGTTCCATTTCTATCAACAATAAATGCCCTTTCTGACCCCATTCCAGCTCACATCCCTCCCCTGAACCTTCAGTCCATGAGCAATTGTGAGTTCATAGACTGCTCCACTTTTTTCCTTTAGTCTCATACTTCTTCCTCAAAAATAAATCCCGCTCAGATAATATTAAAAATAGTAATATCCTGCTCAAATGCCCCACCTCCTTGTTGGATACTAACGTCTCTCACCAGGCCCCACTGCCATGTCCACCTCAGGCCACTGATTCTTTTACTCGGGGTCCCCAGGAATGCGACTTTCTTTCAGCTTTTGCATCCTTTTGGAAGCCTTTATCTTGTATGAAGACTGTTAGAACATCCTTCCTCTCCTCTCTCCATCCTTTTTCCAAACTGATCAATTGCAGTTCTTCTGACAAACTTTTCAGGCAATCCAAATCAACATAGTTTTGCCTGCATACAGTTGCACCCAACAGCAAAAGCATTTTTTCTAGCTATGACTTTTATTGTCAAAGTCAGGGTCCAGGCTTGTGTTTGAAACATCTTTCTTACTGCCTTCCTGTAGGGATCACTTCTGAACTCATCCATGCTGCCTTTACCATCTCCTTCCTTGTAAAACTTGCATGAACCAGAGGTGCAGAGGAAGAAGGATTTTTGTATTGACCTTGCCTTTGTCTTAGTGTGTGACTGTGGAATATTGGAGTTGCCCTCTCATTTTACCTTGTTTTGGCCCTTACTTTTTCTGAATTTAGATGGTAAGCTTATTAGTACGTTGATAAGCTGCCTATTTGTTGAAAGTCATAAGTGTGCGTATAATGGTATAGCTAACAAAAACTAAAATAAATCTTCAAATCCAAATTTACAAAGCCTGGCACCTAAATTATCTGCACAGATGTTTACATATTCACAAATAGATAATTTGAGCCCTTTAATTGTATACTTCGATGCAAGAATTTAAAAATACAAATCTTTAATTTAGTAACATTCCTTTTTTATAGATTTCCAGCTAATTATCCAGATCCTTTGACTGTCCATATTAAATCTGAAATTAATAGAGCCATGATGCACTATACTAATTTCATATTGAGAAGTGCAAAGTGACATGATCTGTCATGTGGTTAAATTACTCAGCATTACCTTTAGAATATTGTTCTTTGAAAACAACTTTAGAAGTAGCTAAACTTCAGATAAATGTCTTTAAAACATGAAAATTCCAAGTTCTGGGTGATTAGCAAACATTACAAAATGCTGTAATATAAGACACAGCTTGACTCAGGTTTGCAAAGCTTGAGTTTGAAAACAAAAGGAAACTTTCTAGAAAGTCTACAGTGAAAGGTTTGACAGAAGTTGCATGCTTCTGATCAGAAACAGATTTTGGCAGTACATTTTTTCAAGACCATAATAAATATCTCAGTGTACTGATTATTTTGGCCCAACTGTGTTTCAAGTGTTTGGTAGATAAACATATTTGTCTATGAATTCGGGTGGAAAAAAAAAAATCACTGTCGAGATTTTTGTAGTTGTTTTGAATAGCTGAAAAGCAAGATACTGACTTTCAGTACTCTGCATGAATTAACACTCAAGCAAGGAATTCTGCTGGTGAGAGTTTGAAATGTAAAGTTGCACAGACCTGGTAACTGTTTCATTGTGCCTTGACCTAGTCAAAATGCTTGTCTGATGATGTGATGAGGTAGAAGGACAGGGGAATTAGGACCGAGACTGAAATTGGTGGCATTGTGTTTTCTATCTGATAAAGGCAAGTGTTTTTGAAGAGGAGTTGTGAACTTTAGTAGCCTTAGTAAAGCAGTGGCTTGAACTTACACTTCACTCATGCTAATCATGTTGACATACAGGATCAGGTGAGGCCTGACGAAGTTTGGTGTAACAGCCAGCTGATATAATTAGATCGGGTCAAACTTCCAAGAACACATTTGCCCTTTCTCATAGTTGTGTGAAGTCAGCCCAACCACAGGAATACTACAGCTCACCTTGTAGCTTTGATTCACAAAGGATCCATTCCTTCTAGAAGGAGGAAGAAAAATATTGACGTGAAAAGATATCACAGCTTGTGAAATATCTCAGAGTTTTGGCTTTGAATTTCTAGTGTTTAGGACTGCAGCCAGCTAGTATGTGGGTTGATAGCACTTCAGTAAGAGCCAGGGATACAAATCAATACTGATGAAAGTGCACCTCAGTATCCTCCATCAAGTTGAAAGGTTTTGTGTATCTTGCTAAGTGAGAGCGGCTGCCTCTGGAGCAATGTGACAGGATACAGCAGCCGACTTAGTAGCTGCACACACACCACTTTGGATTTAAAATATGTTAGTACCTTAAGTGATTCTGTCTTTTTCAGAGACAGTGTTTCCTAGTGAAGGCCAGTACGTGATCAGTTGTATGCCCAGCCCGTATGGAGCCCGAGGCCGTGGCTGGCAGCTCGCGCAGTGCTTGTGTGTGCTGTGCTGTGCTCAGCATACAATTGGGCCCCGGACAGCGCAGGGAAGCAGAGGTTGGAGATTGCTCAGGTGTCAAAGTTCAAGTAGATTGAAATTTGATTTTCACGCTCTGCCAGTCTGAATGTGCAACACCTGTTGCAAGCCTTAGACAGTAATTAAAGCTCATCCATAACTTGTACCAAAACAAGCAAATCAGTGTTTGTTTGTACCTTTGGGTGCAAAATTGTGTATATTGATCCTCTTATTTCAGTATAAAAATACTCTCTTTCAGTTTTGTTTAAGTTATTCTTTGTTTAAATAAGATTTTTAGGAAGGCAAGTCTGTTTTCAAACTCCTACATACCTGTGGGGTCTTTAAAGCTATAAGTATAGTAGATGGCTTTGCTCTGTTTCTTCAGGAGTAGAGTTGGACCAGCACAAAACATCATAAACAAAAAAGTTTCAGAGCACATTCAGGAAGAGAGCAGGAGTATTACGTGCAAGATAAGTCAATATGGGGCCCATACATGTGACTTGCAATTTAAGTAAAAGAGAATGCATGAAGAGAAAGGAGCCTTACCACCTTGTGCTGCTCTGCTGCTCTCAACAGCATTTTATAAATCCCGCACCCTACAGCAGGGACCATTCCTGTAATTTGTAGCATTCGTCCTCTAAAACCACACTGTAACAGAGTATGCTCACAGGAGAAAACAGAGCTGTCAGTCAGGTATGCGTAATAAATGTCTGTGTGCTCAATCTCATTTTGGGTCTGGCAAAGCTGGACAAGAAGCTTTGCCTGGTGGTCATTGACTGTGGGAATAGCAACCAGCCCTTCAGGGCTAGAAATGTTTGGAAGCTCATTCTGATGGGCATCTTCTGAAGAGCACAAAAATAAGAGAAAATGTGTTAAAAGCCGTCATCATATTCTTTAATTGAAATGAAAAGTGGTGCTTACTTGTATTTCTCTTTTTTCCTGTCCCTGCATCCTTAGAAATAATAGACCACCCCCAATGGTTTCACATTTAAATTATGTGTAATCAGGTTAGTCTGTACTACCATCAAGAAACACTACTGTGATTTGACCTTTTCCAGCAAGATGATGTTGCTTATTGATGGCCTTTAACATTTAAAGAATATGAATTTTGCTGCTGCACGCCGTGTACATATTTTTTCTGCTTTTCTAATTGTGTACATGTCTTCTTTCCCAAACTCAGTTGAGGAGTGGTGTGGTGGACACAGGTGCTTGAGTTGCTCCAGAAGTCATTATAAAGTCCTGTCTGCTCCTGTCTCGTTATCCTTGCAGAGATTACAAATGACATTGGTTGAAATGCTTGCACTTTACAGAATTCAGAAGCAGCGCCTGGTACTAAGAAGAGGTAAATTTTGCTGTGGTGGATTTGAATTAAAAATATCCTGTTTTTCATTGCAGGCATCTTTTTCACAAGTCCTGTGTAGACCCGTGGCTGCTAGACCATCGTACCTGCCCTATGTGTAAAATGAATATTCTAAAAGCTCTAGGGATTCCGGTAAGCACCTTGTAGAGCAGTCCAGACAGGGCAGGGAGAAAACACCAACCTTGAGGGGTTATCCCCAGTTCTCTGTCTATTCCTCTCCTATGTCTCTTGCATGTTATATTGCTTTATTTAGGGGAATGCAAGCTGAAATTCCTGGCTCTAGCTCTCTCCCTGCACTGCAGTTCAGCGATCAACAAAGAGTGTGGGTATGGGATGGGGCTGAGTGTTAGGATTTATATCTGCAGCTGCCTGATTTGTTGAGGTGGGTATTTTCTAATGATGTTTTGGTGGGCTTATGTATTCTTTCAAAAGGTATGTTTTTGTGTGTTTTAAATCAGGACTAGATTTATTTTTTAATGATGGTCTCTATTAGTTTCTCAAAGGAGAAGGTCAACAAGTAAAATTTTCTGAGGTATGCCAGTCTGGAACAAATAATCGTTCATTTTAGGAAGCCGTATCTCTTCCCTGTCAAATTTCTCTCAAAGTCTATGGGTAGCAAGCAGCATACTCCCTATTCCACTTGGGAACCATTTTCCCCATACCTAGGCATGTAGTGGACCCCATGATATATAGGAAATTGTTAGGTTCTTTGATATTTGGTACATTCAGATGTGATTAGAACCTGTCAAAACAATTGATGTTTTTAGGTTGCATGTTTACATTCAGATAGCACATGTCTGACCTACCATGCAGTTTCTAAATACACTTATCACAACAATCAGGGTCTTCTCCAGGAAGAAGTGAGTTACTTTCTCACAATATGTAAAGCATGTAAACATGATAGGGAAGTTTGATACTGAAGCGTTGCTATTTGGTGTGTTAACAGGTCCTATAAAAACCCTCCCCAGTTACAGGGGGTGTCACACCAGCTTACATATGAAAGAGTTACATAAGGTAAAATAGATATGCAAACATATTAGAGTAGCTGCCGTGGCATTCCCCACACGCAACGGTTCATTGTCATGGAAACATGAAAGCCAAACTGGCTATTGCCGAAGAGGCTTCGTAGCAAGTGATGGAATTTGTTTTTATAGAAGCAGGTAATAAACAGCATAATCTGAGCTAACAACATACACTGTAAAAATATATTAGAGCATTGTGGTTAGGGTAATACCCTATTACACTTGGACCATTTTTTCCTGCTGTATATTTATCTTGTCTTTGGAATATCAAAAGATACAGTTGTTACATCAGTATTTCAGATGTTAGGAAAGGCCAGGACTAAGGCTGTCTCTCCATTCGGCATTGCTGCACCCAGCCTTAAATGCAGATTTGCTTTGCACAGGTTCCATGTCTCAGTTCACACATTTGCCAGAGAGCAAATGATCCAGTATGTTGACTCCTGCTCTCCTTGCCTAGTATATAGTTTCCTGATTTTCTTCTGCACTCTACGATACCATGCAGTTCCTGTACTCGGTCCATCCCATTGCCTCTTGGTCTTTTTGCACCAGCAGAAGAGTTAAGCATTTATTAACATGCTTCTCATGCAGCTTCGTAACTCAGGGATATAGCCAGAACTGGCCTCCACGCTTTGGTGGCCTGCACTGAGCTGGTAAGATCTTTCCAGAATGGCTAGTGCTGTTCACACGCGGCTCTCGCTGCCGCTGGAGGCTGAGCATGGTGGCACATGCTGTCTGAGTTTGGGTACACAGAGGAAAAGGAAAGCAACATGCTCAGAGGCCAGGTGTGAAGGTTTTGGCTTTATTAAATACGAACTGCTCTATGGTGGCAAGTGCAGGAGCTAATTGCCAGGAAGTGAAGGACATCACTTTGAATTTGCTCAGCTTACCCTTCTTACAGTGCCCTGACTTATTCCCTCTGTGGCGTGTAGGTGTTGCCTAGAAAGGGTATCTCTCTGCTTCCCTCACCAAGGGTTTTCCACTCAGAGTTTCTAGGAAATAATTGTGTGTGATCTTGTAATTAAAGATACTGTTGTAAACTGACACAGACAACTGGGTCAAGTTAAGATCTCAGAGTCAGCCTTAGTGTTGATCTTAAGAGGCAAGTGCTTGATTTTGAGTGTTAATGTTCCACTAGCAAAGGATTATTTTATTAATTTCTGTGAAAATTTCCTAGGTTTCTAAGACAACAAACTGAAAACAAGCTGCTCTCTCCATCATTTGGACAGAGCATGCTGCCTGCCCCCCGGCTGGGACATTGATTGGGATCACAGAGGCTGCATGTCGGAGCTTCGCCCCTTGCAGTACTGAGCAGACAATATTCGTCTTGTCAGGGTCCCTCTGGCTGACAGCAAAGGAAACTAGTGTCTGAGAGTGTCTGGGAACCCGCAGGTTAAAAAAAATCTTATATCGCTGTCAGTTTCTGCTCCCCTTCTGTTTTCTTTGTCTTCTGTTTCTAAAATCTGCCTTAACTCCTGCTTTTCTCTCTCCTACCTCGTCCCCCTATACCTGCTTCTCTGATGGCATAAGTGCCGCCCACCTAACCCTTATCCTTTTGAGCTGCCATCCCCTGTCCCTGCCTGGATACCCATCCATTCCTTGGCGTAGGGACTTTGTTCTCCACATCAACAGAAAATGCGAGCCCTCCTCCTGCTCCTTGCTGTGCTTGGGTGCCGGCTGTGGGAAGCAGAGAAGGGGTCATCTGTCTGTCCTGCGTTGTGGACTCTAGTGTCACCGCAAGCTTTCCAATAGCACAGAAAGTCCTGTTCCCTCTTCAGAGAGTGTAGCCACCAGCCCCTGATAAGACATTGATCCTTATCGGCTCATGCAAACTCATGTTTTCGTAATGTAGGCTGCTGTCAGAAGACTGTCGTGGGAAAAGACATTTCCCTGGGAGAAACTGCAGAGCTCTAGGGCTTCTCAGGGAATGGTGGCAAACGTTTCTGCAAATGCCATTCCCTGACCACAGTCTTCAGTAGTGCCAAATCATCTTCACTGAAATTTCCACGCACAGAAAAGCAGCCTCAGGCAGGCAGGCTTCTCTGATGGGAAACTTGAGCGCAAATTTGCCAAGGTCCTCCCTGTTTTCTATAATGGAAAAAGCAAGGAAATCTTGCCACAGGCAGGGCTAGAGTAGTTTGTTTCTGCCAGCTTCATGCTTGTCTTATGGTTGATACCGTAGAACTGGCTTGTGTGACACTGGATATATTGTGTTATGTTTAGCAGCAAGGCCCAGGATTTTCCAGGAAGTGATCGGTTAAAAAACAGAAAATGTAAGTGTTCATATGTTAGACTTTCTATTCATTCTCTAACAAAGACTTTACATATTATCTGCCTTCAAACAAGAATCCCCTGGCTGCAGTGAGGCCGGAATGACTGCCCAGATTTTCACAGTAGCTGAGCACCCTAATGATCCAGCTTTTCACTGTGGTGCCCTGCAGCTGCAGATGATTATTAACTAAACATCTATCAGCAAACATTTGGCATAACGTTTTCCACTGTTTCTTTGCGGGTGAATCCAGCTCACAGAGTTCACTTCTTTTGGCCATAAGATCTGAAGTGAATTATCTGTGAAAGTGTCTTTCACTTTCAGCCGACTACTTTGCTATTGGCATGATCGTATCAAATTAAATAATTTCCCTCTGCTTCTCCCTCTTCTCTGCAAATATCTGCTGGATATGCATACAGTTGCATTTTTGGCAGCAGATTGGATGACTTGAAGCTATTCACTAAGAGCCTTAGCCAGGCACTCCTAAAGTCAATACAAAGACTTCCCTTGACTCTAGTGGAATTGTGCCCTCAAAGCACTTGCATGCAGGGAGTGAGTGAAACCAATATAATTAAACTTCCCCAATGTATGTGGGTCACCCTGAGAGTGAAAATTGGAATTTATATATGTATATATATATATATATAAAATGACTCAGGAATGAAGGGATTAATTATATTGAATGATGTGTTTTTCATATCTTTAATGTTTAGTTCAGTTTTCAATTATAATCCCATTTTAAAGGTTTAAAAGTTAATGATAAAACCCCATTCCAAACAGAGCAAAGGACAGGCAACTGGTCCCTTGGGGGGGAAAAAAAAAGAAAGATTTTTTTTCAGAGTAGAAAAGATAACTCAGGAATGAAGGGATTAATTATATTGAATGATGTGTTTTTCATATCTTTAATGTTTAGTTCAGTTTTCAATTATAATCCCATTTTAAAGGTTTAAAAGTTAATGATAAAACCCCATTCCAAACAGAGCAAAGGACAGGCAACTGGTCCCTTGGGGGGGAAAAAAAAAGAAAGATTTTTTTTCAGAGTAGAAAAGATAAAATTGAGATTTTTTTTTTCTTAAAGATATACCACTCTCAAAGACAAATTCAATTTAAAATTAAAATTCCGAAGGCACTTTTTTATTCATGGAAAAAAGTGATAGGTTTAACAAGTAATTTTGTGTCCTAGTCCTATAGATAAATGCTTGGTATTTTGCTTAGGAAAGTACCAGTTTGGTGGATTTCATTATACCCTGGTGTAGTTCAATGTACCTTTATCCCAGGTCTTAGGAAGCCTGGTAGATTAGATTGTAGCAAGACAGTGACAATTCTAGTTTTTATCCTGAACTTGGTTTTGCAGATACAAGTCACTTGAGGATTGTTTTAAAAGTCTGTCTTTTTCATTGCAAAAAAATATTTATGAGGTGGCAACAGACAGGGAATTTATGGGAAGAAAATATGCTACGTTCTTGGTTCTGCAAAACACTCGAGCATATGCTAACTTTCTATGCCTGAAGGCATAGGCAAAGGATTAATTCACTTGCTTAAAGCTGAACTTGTATTGAAGACCCTTGCTCTATCGAAGTATAAGGAGACGTTTCGCTTAGTTTCTAGGTGCCTGCTGTTGGAGATAGGCACCTAGTGAGATTTTTACAAAAGCCATAGCCAGTGAGACATCTAAGCATAGGAGAAGATCTCTCTAATGTCCACACATTGGATTTCCAGCGTAGCAGCTTCAGCCTCCTCTCCATGGAGTGGTGAGTGGCAGGTACGGCGTGATTCATACCTCTTACCTTAGGGTGGGATGAGTCACACGGCAAAATTACTTCAGTCCCTTGAAGAGAGAGGAAGCCTAAGTGACAGATCGAAATGAGCCATCTAACCTTTGGATAATAAAGACAAGTGAGAACAACTTAAGTTTCCGTGCCTCCCAAAGTAACAAGCTATCTGTGTAACTGCTTAGCCTATGCAACCTTGTTGAGCTTGAAATCAAGTTCAACCTTGCTAAACCTATCTCCTGCTATCTGAAATGCCTCCTATCTGGCATTTCAGAAGCCTTGCAAACAGCATCCTTGTTTCTGAATTTGCCATATTTTTTAACAGTATTTTACAACTTCAAAACCCAGTTCCTGAAATAGTTATACAGACAAATTTTCTTGGGGGGAACTAGACCTAGTTCTGTGGTTAAATGGCACAGGAACATGCTGGTGCTCAGAGCTTTGCTCATGGTTGCCACAGATGATTTTGGGGAGTTCCACAGAAATCACTGCTTTGTGAATAAGTAGGAGCACCAGACTCGTAACAGGCCCAGAGAGATCTGGAGTAGAACCTAGTCTGACTGCTTCAAGTGCTCGATTTGGATATAGTCTCACAGGACAAATAATCCTCTTCACCTTTCAGGGCATTCTTGGATTCCCAGCGCTCTTCCTGAATAGGTGCTGCTGAGAAAACTGTGCAGAGAGTGGGCACCCCAGTGCTTCTCCTGCTTCCCTATAAGCTTGGAGGAAAGGCAGACACCTGACTTGAAGAGCTTGGCTCATTCTGTAGCGGTAGCTCTGTTAATTATATAATTGAGATACAGAAGTACCTAAATTACATGGCCTATAGTCCTTCCCTGGTCTTTCTGGATCACAAAGCAAGAAAGACAGTGGACTGAATAAAACTCCTCAAATTCCCTTTAAGGCTTGTTTATTTCTTTTCTCATCATTTTATTTTGCAGAAAATATAGCATTAGCAAAGCCTAGGTCTTTTATGTTAAAATACATGTCTTCTCTTATCAATAGCTTTAGCTTCCAATCTTGCGTCCCACGCACAGATTACCCCACAGCAGTTATCATGAATTCCTGATCCTGAAAACTCTGATATGAAGTCTACAAAAACGTGGATTTAGGGAAAGCAAAGAATTTGAAGGTAATCATTCCCCTTCAGCTACTGTCTGTGTATACGTTCCTAATCCGACTCAGCAATCTGCTTGTGTTGAGCAGATTATATCAATAAATGAACTACTTTTTTGCACTCTCCTAAAACCTTTGAAAAGTGTAAATAAAGTTCGATATTTGTGATTACACTGTTTCATAGTAAACACTTCCACCGCATACTTTGGGTCATTCCAACAACCAATTCTCTTAGGAGGACTTAAATACATTAAAAAAAAAAAAAAGAAAGAAAGAAAAAACAGCAAATTCAAGCGATAAAAGACAAAATCCAAAATTCCTTGGATGTTGCCATTTACAATACTCATTCAAAAGTAATCCCAAGGGAATCAGGAGAATGACAATAGCAGCACTGGGTGTAAAGGAAAAAGAAAAAGCTCTACAAAGTGGGAGCAGGTAGATTAAACGTGTCTGACAGATGAAAGCTCAGATTTCTTCTTTTTCTTCCCATCAGCCAAATGCGGATTGCATAGATGATATACCTCCAGACTTGGAAGCGTCCATAGGAGGACCACCAACGAACCAGATAACGGGAGCTAGCGATACAACAGTCAACGAGAGCTCTGTAGCCCTGGATCCCCCGGTCCGGACTGTGGGAGTACTACAAGTCATCCAAGACGTAGACTCCTTTCCCCAGGTCGGGGAGGGTAACTTCACAACAAGCAGTAAGTTCCTCTTTCTGCCAGAATTGCACTGAAAGAAATGTGTAGAAACCTGAATCACAAACCAACCTTTAATGGGAGAAAAATGGCTTTTAGGGGCTTTTTTACTGGAGTGGTTTCCTGACTTTAAACCCAGCAGATATCTACAAGGTAAGTAGATATAAATACACATGTCATTCTAGTGTAGTGCAGACAATTCCAGCCCTGTGTGCAAATCGATATATTACTTATTACTCCCAACGAGAATTCTCTGCCTAGATCTGTTTCAGTCAGCACAATGCAATATGAACTCACAGTCATCATAGGGTATTTTTTACAGCAAGTAGTCTTGTTTACCATGATAACCTTGAGGTGTTTCACCGGGATTCTTGGTTAAGTAGATGGGTGCATGTTGACGCGTGTTATTTTCAGCATTGGCCTTGGCCTACCTTCCTTCACTGCACAGCAAGTTATCATACAGAAGTTATTTTTACCCACATATCATAAAATAAATAGTAGTGATACAATTGCTTTCATTGCCTTCAGACAGGAAGAAAAGACCATTGAATTCTGGTTTTGCCTTTCCTTTATTTTCTTGTGTCGACTGAAGCTTGACTGGTTATTTATTCATACTTGAACTTCTCATTTCAAAAGGATTTATTGTCAGAGTTCCTGAACTTGAAAACCCGAGTTACTGAAACAACACTGGCAATTAGTACTAAAAAGAAGAAATATGGATGCTTCCAGGGTGTTTTTTCCTGCTTAATTTTCACTTGTTCAAGGCGCACTGTTGGAACAAGTAACTTCCAAATTGTCTGCTCTTCTCTCTGTTCCTAAAAACGATGTTCTTTGTTGAAAATCTACTCTGACAGTTTAGAAAAAGTAGTTGTTACCTCTTCCAAGTGAGGTTTGTACCAGTCTAAAATTCCTGCTTCTAGATAAAATAGCAGATAATCGGGACACATATGTTCAGCATCAGCTTGTGTATAAATATTGCCAAGAGTATCGTAGAAAATCATCAGATATAATTGAAGGTATGTAGAAGAATGTGACAAAATGCTGGTTTGGATATGGAACTTGTGCAATCCATACAGAATAATTATGTATTTCAAGCACTTTTATATGCTATTCTTGGTCTAGGTGTGAAAAAGAAAGCAAATAATAGTATGATGTGTAAAAGTGGGAGAGAGAGATGAAGAGACTAAGTTGAAATGATTCTGCCTGAGTCTCCTCACTTGGAGACACTTTATAATCTCACTTTCTTTCATATTGCCAATCTGTTGTGGCATATTTTTGGTGCCTTTTTCTGTCAATAGATAGTGTTTGGCAGCAAAAGAAACTTCTGGAAACACTGGGTTTGGTAGCCTTGGGCATTGAATCGTTCACGTGACCGATCAGTGGATTTTCAACTACCTTTTTGGATTATGTTCTGGTTTCAGTTTGGGTCCTTTCCTGCTCCAAATGCCGGATGCAGCAAGGGGGAAGTGGCAAAGCTGTGCAACCCGTTGTGGTCTGGGGCCAGCGTGTCAGCCGATGGGATAAGCCTTTCTCAAGCCTCCTTGGATGGATTTTGAACAGCAAGGGCTGTTCGAAATAAAATATTTTATTCCCTCCAGTGATAGTTTGTAAATGCATTTGAGGCTGATTCAAGGAGTGAGATAACTTCATGGTACCACAGTGGTGCTCAGGACTGGGCCAGATTAGTTGTACCCATTTGACACTCCTGAAGCCAGTAGCTCCCTAGCAGATACCTGTCCTTGTCCCACTGGTCTCTACCATGTCCAGTGTTCAGGTGAGGTGAGGAGGCCATGGGTGCCTTTACACCTGTAGCTGCACGGCATGCTGAGAAGAGCCTGCAGGCTGGTGGCTAGCACAGCACAAGGGATCCTCCTCCGTGCTTTCGATCCCAGGATCTTGTCTCACCAAGAAGTGCTTTCGGAGCTGTTTGGGTTTATATTCAGTGATGACAGTGGTGCCAAGACAGCCAGCAAACACAAGAGCTCTGAAACCTCCAGCCTTTTTCCTCCCCTCCAGGTCAGTTTCTGGAGTCTGTGGAAGGATCAGTGCCAGGCCAGATCGGTTGATCATTTACCAAGTCGGGGCTAGGTAACTGGGTGGCAAGCTTGCTCTGAGGGAGGGGAGCCCTGCAGGGCCTGCCAAGTCACTGCCTTTTGTTTTCTTCCCCATTGCCCTTTGATGACTGTGGGCAGTAGTCACTAACAGCAGGCAATCCCGAGCACAGATAGCAGTGCCTGTGGACAAGGAGCAAGCACAAGACCAGTGGTCTGTCCAGGCACGGTGGTGTCTAAGCAGCCAAGTGTGAGGCTCCAACGGGAGCCTGAGGTCAGTCATCTGAAGAGACCGGCCGTGTGGCTGGGGGGAACCGTGCAAGGCTTTTTCCTCAGCTCTCTGAGGGACAGAGAGGAGAGCAGAAGGGGGACATGGGCACGTGACCTGAGCACTGCAAAGGTTGCCGGCATCACTGTGGCACAGGGGTGGTGTACAGCTAAAACTAGTCCTCTCCAAGTGTTTTGTAAGGAAAGAGGAGTCTATTGAAAACTCAGAGGACACTGGCAGCTTCCGGGTCCTGCTATGTACCTATCTCAGCCATGTCTGTCACACGCAGTCACTCAGGAAATGCTGCTTTAGTACTTGCTCTCATCTGCCCATGTAAACATGAATTTTATTCTGAATTTCTCATTTCAAAATGATACCTGAGTGTTAGTCAGTAGTAGGTGTGCAAGTTTATTCATTCTTATCACCATATCCAAAAGTGGTGCAATTTGCAGTTGTGCTTGGGAGCAGAGCCTCTTCATCCCTTTTTGCAGAGGACCTCACAGCAAAGAAAGCTTATTTTGTTGGAGTTAGGGGCTGAGGTCCAGCAGCGATGGGAATTTCTACTTCCAGCTAATTTATGGTGATTTTGTAGGTGTTCAGGCAATCTGAAAGGTTGAGCCTATCATTTTAAGCAACTTGAGCTCTCAGTCGAAAGGGGAACATCTAGGACCACCATATAGCTGGGGTATGAATCCAAGCGGTACCTGAATCAGAGAGCATCTGTGGGCTAAGTAACTGGGTCATAGCTGTCACAGAGACAGGGCTTTATAAGAATTGTCTGCTGTATTTAGGAATATATTTCCCTTTTCCAGAATGCTCCCAGTTACACAATGCAGAGCTTGCCAAGCGTGCCCTTTCTGCAAACTAGTCTGCCTGGGACTTCACAAGTGATGACACTTATTGCTGCTAGGAATCTTTGCTGGAGTTATTAGGTTTTGGTCTCTTCATTTAGCGTTAGTGCTAGGAGCATATTCCTAGGCTGAGTCTGGGCTAGACGTTTTCGTCTTGTTACTGAATCTGTGCAAAACGCCTCCAGCGCAGTCTTGACGTGGCATTCTGTATCCCAGGAGGTAAGGGACTCACCCTCTCCTTTCCACCCTCTTCTGCAATAGTTCTTTCTGCTTGACTATCGTTGCATCCTTATTGTTTGTTGATTAATTGTTCTGCTATTTTCTCGTTATGGGTTTAATTTCATTGCCGCAGAAGCCAGTTCCTCCTTTTGATGTTTCCAGTGAGAATTCAAAGCCAGATGAGCTCCCACAGTGTGTCTGGAGGGAGGATGTTTCCAGAATACTGTTCATATTGGATGAAATCCGTTCTCCATTGAAATCTGGTGGCAGAGTTCCCACCTACTTCAGTGGGGCCAGAATTTCATCTCTGGAGCTTGGCCAGTGCTTTCCTTTATTTTTGTGCATGTGCTCAACGAACATTTCTTCTGCACTCCCTCCCTCTGCTTCCTCATGCTCCTGAATAGAAAATGTCTTCCCTGGGGCCTTAGCGATGTTCTGTCACTTAGATGATGGATGGCGGGATGGACTTCATTCTGCAGCCTTTTCCCATGGTTTCTTGCTAAACCAAGCATCTCCTGTATGACAGTGCTAAAGAAGGGACCAGCAGTTTCTCTCCGCTGGCTTCTGCTAAGACGCAGACTTCATCCAATCCTCTGGGCATGTCTACAGCCAAAGACTCTTCGCTATTTAGTCTTAATGACTGTTCTTTATTATGAGATTTTCTGCAGAATATCTGAATAGCATCTCAGAATATGATAGCTCTGAGTGGCTAAAAATGGATGAAAAAGTGGAATGAGAAAAATAGTGGGTGAAAAAAAATGTGTGAAATGCATACCTGCTCTTTCCAGCTGAATTTCCTGCTTTGATTCTATTACTTTTCAGCTCTCCAGAGGGTATGAAAGAAGATATGCTAAGAATCTTTTCCTACAGTAGTGTATCTGTGCTGCCCAGTTTTTTAGTAGAGAGTTATACAAAGTGCTGCTGCCATTTTTGGAAATTCCAGAGCAGGTGGAATCTCCTGCTTTAAAGATGTGGTCAAGTGTGAGCTAGCCTGAGGCTTGACTTGGCTAATATCTGAAGGAGAAGGGGCGCCAAGCTCTGCTGCTTGGGCAGAGTGGAAGATGGTTTTTGATTTGCGGAAGGCAGTTTGCAATGTTATTTGGGCCAGGCTCAGCCAGCATTGAATGATAAATTCCCTTTTGCTTTAATTTTAAAAATATTATGACATTAAATTAACATCTGGATGTTTGGAAAGTCCCATTCCTGACATTTGTAGGGGAAAAAAAGCAGTCTTTTTTTTTCCTCATCATTTATGGCATCATATAGCATCAATTACGATGTGGCGCTTGCTAATTTCTTCAGTAGATCCCGTGCACTGCCTAGGTCTTTGCTCCCTGTTGATAAATACCTCTCATTTTTCAGATTGCACAAGGTTTTATGCACTTCTCAGTGAGACACCCTGTTTGAGAATGTGCCACACTGTGCAAGGCCTCAGAAATCCCACCACTCCTATCTCTGTAGTTGGAGGAAGATCCATAAATACTTCTGCTCCAAACAAGGGTAAGAGGTTAGCAGGAAAATATACAAACTTTCTCGGCAATTCCTCTGTATTGTGTCACCTACGAAGTTCACAGAGTTGAGTGGACTCTGTGGCAGAGTGGGCACAGGGAAAACCAC